GCTTCATGTACTGGAGGCATTTGCACAGAAGCAAGACTGCGTCGGAGTGTTCCTCGACGTAAAACAGGCGTTTGACAAGGTCTGGCAAAATTGTATGCGTTTTTTCTGTTCGCCTTGAAATTTATACCCTGAACCCATTGAAAATGGGTAAAAAGGGTAGAATGTATTTGTGCAAATATATGGAACAGGCGGAAGGAAGCATCTCCGACCCCATAACGTATATATATTCTTGATCAGCATCAATAGCCGATTCTGTCCGTCCGTCTGTCGGTATGTATGAACGCAAGGATATCAGAATCTATGAGTGCTAGAGACCTGAAATTTGGTATGTAGGTCCTCCTAGTGCTCGAGCAGATCGAGTTTGCTTCCGATATTGGATAACTTTCCCCGTTTCTAAGTAATCGATAAAAATCGATATCGAAATCCTGTTTTTTGAGCAATTTCGGCAAATAATATGAGCTAGAGTCACCAAACTTGACATGTAGCTTCTAGAATAGTATATATATATCAAGTATCTTTCATTTTGTACCAATCGCCACCTCCCCGCTACCACCATAAAGCTTAAAATCAACTTAATAATCCAACTTGTATTGCCCATCAGTTTAAGCCACAATTTAAATGCCATTGTCATTTTGAGAATACACGAATATTTTATAGTACAATAAGATCTACTACTGAAAATTTCACATTCATGCGCGTCTGCTTTAAAATCTATCAACAGCATTGCAATTGCGATTGTATTGTTTTCTGTGCTGCTATTTTAATAAGTTTTTTCTCATTAAAATTAAATAATTGGCGTGGCTGTTGCGTTAAGGCGGCGGCAGGTAGTGCGTTCCGCTGCGAGTTCGAGACCTACCGAGGAAATTATATATTTGTTTTTTGGCTGGTGTGGCTGTTGAGTAGAGGCGGCGGCAAGTTGTTCGGTTAGTTGCGAGTTCGAACCCCACCAGGAAAACGTTTTTAAACCCTTGCAAAGGGTATTATAATTTTGTGAAATGTGTAACGCATAGAAGGAAGAATATATATATCCAATATCATAATCATGTCCATCTGTCCGGCTGTCCGTCTGTCTGTTTCTATGCGAACTAAGTAGTCTCTCAATTTTATAGCTATCTTTATGAATCTTTGCAGAAGCGCCTCTTTCTGTTTCACGCAGTACATACGTCGAAACCAGATGGATTGGACCACTACATCATATAGCTGATATAGGAACGATCTGTCGAAAAGTTAGTTCTTGTATGAAACACATTTTTGTCTATCAAGATATATTGACCAAACTCGGCATTTATTAGTTTAAGTATGCTCCTAATATATATGCAAAATCATATCGACATCGGACTACTATATCATATAGCTGCCATAGAAACGATCGATCGAAAATTTAGTTGTTGTTTGAAAATTGTTTTGTTTTTCAAGAAATCTTGACCAAACTCGGCATTTATTAGTTTTACTTTTCTCCTTATATTTATGCAAAATCCTATCAACATCGGACTACTATATCATATAACTGCCATAGGAACGATCGGTCGAACAGTAAGTTGCTGTATGGAAAATTTATTTGTTTCTCAAGATATCTTAGCCATACTCGGCATTACCTATTTTTCCTGTGCTTCTTAGACATGGGAAAGCGCTATGAGTATTATGAAAAAGATGGGTCTGCATCGGTATTTTTTCTCGTTTTTGTTTGGCTGGTCATGCGGTCAGTTGCGAGTTCGAACCCTGCCAAGGGAACTTTTTTTTCTATTTATTTTTATTACTACTAAAGACAACGAGCGCGTAGCGCGAGCTGCATTTGGTGTTGGTTCAGGGTACCCCCTAGTCGGGAGCTCCCGACTAGAACCTCATACTTGTTTTAAAATTAGACGGATAGGTAGGCAAAAACATTAATCAAACTTTATATGAAAACATACTACGCGGCCATATAATTTAATTTTGCAATTGCGGCTTAGGTCTTAGGCTTAGGTCTCTGAGCGACGGACTGACAAAGGAAGGTCACTGGCTCGAAGCCAGCTGAAACTGTCAAGGTGCTTTTTAAATTAATTTGTTATTAATGGCAATGGTTAACAAAAAATTTACGAAGAAGTGGAAAATAATTGGGAGCTGCTTTGCCTATTACAATTCCGTTATATGTAAGTTTTTGGCAGACCCCACACCCAGCACAAGGGTTATGGTTGGAGCCCACGAGAAAGATTTCTTAAAACTCAGATTCAGGATTATGGTTAATACATGAATTACACAAACAAAGGCGGCACCACTAGTATTTTCTACATAATTCATTTGATCCCGACGACGGGCCAAATTTCTTCAATATATGTGGGTTGGTATTTCTCGAGGCATGCCATTGCCCATTTTCAACGTAATCCCAAATAACAACAATAGCCCTAGGCAACAACCATTAAGAGAAACATCAACACACAAAATTTCAAAAGGAATGCGAACTCTCCTGCCGGCGAATCCGCTAAAGCAGAAGTTGAAAACATGCACGATGCAAAGAAGAACAGCGTGTCAAATATGACGAAGAAGAGAGTTTCAGTTCGGCCTTTGACGAGAAAGTTTGTGAGAGCTGTTTCTCAACGAGTAAAGACAGCGACTTGCTGGTCAATTTAAAACAATGTTTTGTCACTTTAAACATTACAATTACTATTTGTATAACTTTATCCTAAATCAAACCCCACACATATGCATGTTATATTTGTATTTTATTATTACTTTGTTAATTAAATAATTGATAAGGATGGCAGGGGTCAGACGAGGGAGCGCGCGACTGCATAGATGAGTGACTAACATTTTAACGGCATAACCAAAACGCTTGCGGACAAAGGCGCCTTAGAAATTACAAGTATATACATACAGTAGTAGCGGGTTTTGCCCAGCCTTGCGCGTGGAACGTTTTTCTAAAAATTTTAGATATTACCTTTCCATTCAGTACGAAACCTCGTCTTAACGTGCACCTCCATCACATTAGGTAATTATAGTGAAAATTTCATCTTCCTAGAACTTACGGTTTGGGCTGTGCGTTGATCACCAATCAGTCAGTCAGTCAGAACTAACAGTTTTATATATGGAGATTTATACTATGTAAGATGACATGTACATTTTCTGCTTGTTATATGTTATATATTTGCAGAAAACCATTATAGCCTTTTTACTCATTTGCAATGGATAAGACAACACTAAGTAGGGCAAAATTGGCAAAATACAATATGTAAAGAATATGCCTAAATATTTGTTTCCAAATTGTTTGAACACGAGAGCATATACACAAATCGAATAAACAATGAAACATCTGTGTATATAAGCAAATTAAATTTCCTTCCAAGCAAGCATTAAGCATGGAGTAGCTTTTTTCTGATTTGGAACCCACATGTCCTCCTTAGGAGACGAAACTTCTTCGACTTGGCCATCATCTCAGCCAAGCTGAAGGCGACTAGGGGAATCTTTTTTGTAATCACGTTGTAAAGGAGCTACTGGTTAGAAGACATTTGTTAATTTACTAGGATGTAGAGCTTAGAGGGAGGAGGAAGTGCTTCAAACAAATCATACCTCATACTACTTTTACAGGGTATGACAGAGGGGGCCCCTCCATGAAATATATGCACACAAAGCCGGGATTGTTCACACAGGCGATGGGCCGAGACTTCGAACCACACACACCATACTAGGTTGGGAAAGGGATTTAGGTCAAACATAGGTTAGTCACGGTACTTCAGATTACTGTTAATTTTATAAAGAACTAGCGGGCTTCATTTCAAACGTTTTTTTATTCTTTCATTTCACATCCGATAGCTACTGTACCCTACCCTGTTCTACTTCCCTATGCAAAGGCCCTGCCGCACTGCCTGGAGCCCTAGCACATTCAAGGTTATGTCTCTTGCTTCGCCTTCTTCAACGCACGTCTACTCACCCAGATGCTCGCTTGCAATCGAGCCGTGCGCCTGCTTCGGCCGCCCAACTTCGCCGTTAGCTTTTGCAACATCACTTCGGAGCTTTCGCTTTTCGCCGCCGAAGTGAAGTTGCGCTCTCGAGGTCGGTGTTGGGAAATCGATCAGCAGAACACGGTTGCTGCGGCGGGCGGCGGTTAAATTCAAACATAATTCAAACTGGGCTCCTTGCCCTTAACTAAACTTCAATGCTTCGGCACCTTGCCTTAACTATTCTTACGACTAATGGGCTTATATACTATACAATGCTTATATGCTTTATACTATACAATGCTTATATCCTTTAACTATGATTATGACCTGTGTAAAGGTTGCCACAGCCACGTCGCTCTTAAGTCTCAGCTTCAGTTTCCACCCAAAAGAAACAAAACTAAGGACAACGACATTAGAGAACAGCATGGCAGGTCACAACCAGGCCAGACAAGGATAGGATCATAAAGTTGTCTAGGGATTTCTTAAAGACATTTATCATCATCTTTATGCGAATATTGCACTCCTTGGGATAGGCTACTGATTTCCCCCTCCCACTTTCTACACCCCACCTAGTTCCAAACCCCAATCAGTTACAACATGCAAGTTACTCCTGTGGTGTTTCAGGGCTACGGTTGGGGGTTTAGGCTTGTCCGTTTTGCATTTTAATTTTAACATTGGCAAAATTGTTTTAATGTAAAAATTCGCCCTTAAATTATTAACAACACAAGCCACTCATGATATATATGTTGTGTGAAAAAAAGCTCATAGTGGGGGACTGTGCTGCACACTGGAATGCACTCATGGAAGCATAGGAACCAGGGCCTCTCAAAAAAAAAAATTAAAACTAGGAAACAAAACAAATAAACCAAAACACAAAACAGGCCAATATATGAAACATGCCTTGGCTCAAACCTCTTTGGGGTCACACAGTTTAGTTTGTCGGCCGATCGAACATGTCTTAAACGATTTAATACAGCTAAAATATATTTGATTACACATAATCGTAGTTTGCAACATAAATTGCACAGTAAAGCTCGTAGTAAAGTGAAAATTATAAAAAGACAAAACAAAGTGTCTCACATCGGCTGCCCTGCATGAACTATTTAACAATTTTGCTGTGCAATCGTAAACCAACGATGCTCTCGCGCCGGGGCAAAGATAAATCACAGGCACATAAAGAGGGCGTAGTGGGGAAGTATGTGAAGAACGATACCCCGCCGGAGATACCGGTGATAAATGTGTGGACTTCCTATTCAGATCAACATCAACGTGCAAAAAAGAAGTCTTTGCAGAGGTGTGCAAGTACTTCGCCTAGCTGTGAGTTTAAGCCGCGCAGCTCGAGTTCTAGTCGCAATGCGTATTCTTGTAGTGATGTTCAGCCGGATTACTATCACGCGCGCAGAGCTCAAAGCCAGTTGCCGCTAAACAATCAGCAATCACTTCCAACACAGGGTAACACACAATGTCGAGGTGGTAGCAACCAGCTATGCCAAGGAAACAGTAACTACGTCAACATTGAGCAAATGGACCGTATGCGACGTCAGCAGTCATCGCCACTGTTACTAACCAACAATCCAACAAGGGGCTTTCAGCGAAGTTATTCTGCCCAAAAGCCCTCGCAACCTCATGGGGGTACAACTAGCTATGACGTCGATCCTGGACTACTTAACACCTCCTACGCAAATATGATACAAATGCCACGCCGACCCCCATCACCTGCACAGTTCGCAATGCAGCAACCACAACAGCTCCTACATCACCCTTCCACTACATTTGGATCAGTGATTCGATTCGAACCGTCTACAATAGCAACAAAAGATCATCCACGGTATCCCCAGACAAGATCACCACTAGGACAACATCATCAGCATCAGCAACAACAATTGGCAGCGCATATGGTTGGTAGTTATTCCAGCGATTCGTATCCAATATATGAGAATCCGTATCGCGTATCTTCCATGCGGGTGACGCAATCACAGCGCTCTGAATCTCCAATTTACAGTAATACAACAGCGTCATCGGCTACGCTTAGTGTTACTCCACATCATCATCATCATTTACCAGTACCTTTAGGTGGATCTCTGAGTGGTCGAGGCGGAAGCTCTGGTAGCATGCGTGGCGCCTCTACTTCGGTTCAATCCCTCTATGCGCCACCTCTTACGCCGCCTGCATCCAGTACTTCAACTGCTGGAGATACCAATGGTAACGGAGCGTTGCAAAAAGTACCCTCACAGCAGTCGCTTAAAGAGAGCGAAGAATTGCCACTGCCGCCAGGTTAGGCCACGCAATACACGCTGCATGGTAGGAAATACTATATTGACCACAACGCACATACAACGCATTGCAATCATCCACTGGAGCGCGAGGGTCTGCCGGTTGGTTGGCGTCGCGTTGTCTCGAAGATGAATGGTACCTATTATGAAAACCAGTATACCAGGCAGTGCCAGCGGCAACATCCATGTCTTACATCCTACCTCGTTTATACCACGTCAGCAAAACCTCCTAAAGCAATACGGCCCGAAGCGCCAATGTATTCACCACCTTCACATACACATACTGCATTGGTGCCAGCCAATCAGTACCTACTTGAAGAAATACCAAAATGGTTGGCTGTCTATTCTGAGGCGGACTCCTCCAAGGATCATCTGCTGCAGTTTAATATGTTTAGCCTGCCTGAGCTCGAAGGCTTCGATAGCATGTTAGTACGTCTCTTTAAGCAAGAGCTCGGTACAATCGTCGGGTGCTATGAGCGCTATCGTCGCGCATTAATACTGGAGAAGAATCGACGCGCCAATCACAACAAGCTACAGCTGTGGTAGTCGCATCTAAGAGTACGACTGTGCAATTCGTACAACCGGTGTATTTTTATAACTTACTGAGATGGTTTTCAATGTTTCGTTAGTTCAGTTTGTAAACTGTGATATAATTTGACTTAAAACGAATGAAAAATGGTTTCAAGAATATAAGTAATTGTGTTTACCTGAACCAAAAAAAAAAATGGTCTACGCTGGTAATCCGATTTACATCTGTTTTTAACATATTATCTTGTTGTTATTTTATGTTTGCGTTTTGGTGTATGAATATTAATCAGTTTTTTAATAACTAATAGATATGGAATAATATTCGGCCCAACAAAGACTGTAAAGGAAGAACTTAGACATCTCAAAAAAGTGATGTGAGTTAAGTTTATCTTATCATATATATGTACATAGGTAAGTACATATAAATAATAAATGCTTTCAGTGTATGTGTCTTTTTCCTTATGTGAATGCTCGATCTGAGAGACTAAGACAAAGAGATACTTAACTTAATATGTATGTACTTATGCTATGTAATCTTTAATTTCATATGTCTATAAGTATAATTTATATGTGTTCAATCCGACTGCTTATCCGTCATAGTTTAACGAATATCAGCAATTACTTTATAAGATTATTTATAGAAAACGAAGTTCTATTTAAATACACGATATTCAACATATTCGATTCACATGCATATAAAAAAAATGTATGTCGAACTTCGAGTTGCAGGCAATAAACTTGTGAGTGCGCTTTAACAGCGCCGGCATCCATGAATAAAAAAAAGTGCACAGAAAATGGAAGGGCATGACAAAATCTTACGCTTAGCAAATGATACACTCGAGTTTCCCAGCTTCTCTGAGCTGCTTTCACTTAAGTTGTTTACTTTCAACTTTGGGCCAGCCCGCCTTAAGTACTTTGTGCTGTACTGACCTAATAACGTGGGTTACGAACAATTCTACTGAAAAAGGGCGGAAAAATGTTCATTTAACTGATTGTTTTTCGTCCGATCGATTTCAATCTCAAGCCTATACGCAAAATGCTATTTAATATATATGATAATGTTTATGTCTATATTATGTATTTCTGTGAACGTATGCATATGCATGTGTTTTTTAATACTAAGCGCAGGAGAACCTTAGTTCTTTTTATATAAAAAGGTCTTAATCACGACTTTATATCATCAATTTTTAGATTCCTTAGGCGCTGGTAAAAAGGTTGGCTGAAATTTATGCGCTAAAATGTATGCTCTCTTATCAATGAGTTATGTCTTTTAGAACCCTGTCAGGTAGATCCAGTGGATGGCACCGTTTAACTCTTCTCTTTTTCCCCTAGAGTGACAGACTCCTGAAATGGAGCACCTTATTCTTGTTCTTCCAGGCGAAGTAAGGCGCATTTTTAGTGGGTTGGGATGGGAGCGAAGGCGCTTAGAGTATCTTTTGGCATGCTGACGGATTACGTCTCCTACTTAGGGAACTCCTAGGTCTCTCTCGATGTCCCTAGTACGCATATACCAAAGAGCATTACTTATGCTTCTAAGAATTTAACTCTGTGATACTCTTATTTTGTTGAGGTGGTATTTTGCGGCAATCCAGTACATTTGCAGCGAACACATCCATATAGGACTCAGTATTGTTTTGTATATCCTTACTTTGCTTGTTAGAGAAATCTTGTTTTTAGCAGAAAGAAATTATGTCATCTTTGTAGCTTTAGACAAAAATGTTTGTTGGACCATCGATACATGTCTGCTGAACGTGAGCATTCTGTTCAAAATGTTTCCGAGGTATTTGTGTGCGGGTTCATGCTTTAAAGTGGAGCCGAGCAACATTACTTCGGGACAGGACTCTCTCCTAGTAGCAAATGTGACATTTGCAAATTTCCTGCTCCCATTCTAAGCCCCATGCTTCGAAGCTACCCAGGTATTCTTGTAACGCGTCTGTGGCATTGCCTATTAGAGGACTCCTGGTCAACACAGCAGTGTCATCTGTATACGTAGCTATAAGGACATCCTCCCTGTCCACTGCTGTAACCGAGCTGGTTGTTGGCATGTCAGCTGTGTTAATTGTGTAGAGAGTGGGACCGGGGACGCTGCCTTGTGGGACTCCGGCGCGTACAACTGGAACAATTGTGGAGATAAGAGGCTCTTTAATTTTCTGTGAAGTCCAGGGTGCCATACTCTATCGAAGGCTTGTTGAATATCCAAGAACACTGCCACCACATATTCTTTGTGATCCATGGCTTCTAGTGCAAAATTGACCACTCAGTTAAGTTGCTCCGGGGTCCCGTGACGTTTACGAAAGCCAAACTGCCACATTGGAAACTAAATCAAAGAAATAACAATATTAGTCACGACGATTTTTTATTATTTTAAAAATATTTCAAATGGATGGAGGGTAAAGGGAAGCGATGGGAGGTGTACTTGACATCGTTGTTGCTATCTGTACGATTTTTGTTGTTGCTCAGGTAACTGTCTCCACTTTGCTCTGCATGAGTGTGTGTGTGTTTGTGTCTGTACTGTGATGAGAATGTAAAATGCCCGAACAACAAGTGCTGAAGCAAGAGCAGAAGCTCCAAGGACAACCGGCTAGTACGTGCCTGTTGTCACAAATGGCAGTCACTGTCAAACTAAAGTGTACAACAATGGTCGCACCGAAAGTAGAAACTGACTAGGCGATGTCGAAAGGGCTTGCTTTCCTTCCCCTATTCATACAGACAGCAATGTAGCATGATGGCGTGTCTATATAAGTCCTTTCAATTTGAATATTTAACGTTCGCAACTGTGTGTGTGTGGAGAGCTGGGCTGAGCCTAAGAAAAAAATCTTGCGAACGTGTTGTTTGTGTGTCTGTGTGTGTGCGACGCAGCGACAAACGGAAACAAAAATAACGCGGACTGCACCAAAATGAAATATTGAAGTTATCGTGGTGTCCTTAATGTGATGGCGGCTTTTTTTTATACCCTGAACCCATTAAAAATGGGTAAACAGGGTATATTGTATTTGTGCATATGTATGTAACAGGCAGAAGGAAGCATCTCCGACCCCATAAAGTATATACATTCTTGATCAGCATCAATAGCCGAGTCGATCTAGCCATGTTCGTCTGTCCGTCCGTCTGTCCGTATGTATGAACGGAAGGATCTCAGAACGTATAAGAGCTAGAGACTTGAATTTATAGCTGTAGGTCCTCCTAATGCCCGCGCAGATCGAGTTTGTTTCCGATATCCGATAACTTGCCCCGTTTCCAAGTAATCGATATTGAAATCCTGTTTTTTGAGCAATTTCGGCAAATAATTTGAGCTAGAGTCACCAAAGTTGACATGTAGCTTCTAGAATAGTATATATATATCAAGTATCTTTTATTTTGTACCTATCGCCACCTCCCCGCTACCACCGCAAAGCTATAAATCAAGTTAATTATCAAACTTATTGCCCATCCATTTAAGCCACAATTTATATGCAATAGAATTTTTAAGAATACACAAATATTCTTTATTCTATTCTACAATAAGATGTACTGTCGAAAATTTTATTAAGATCCCTTAAGAAACACAAAAGTTATGTGAGCACGTGTTAGCAGCATAGCTGCTGCGCACATTCCAAGAATTTCTGTACACATGTACACACACACACATTCATGTGTGTTTGCTTTTTATCAACAGCATGGCGATTGCGATTGTATTGTTTTCTGTGCTGCTATTTTAATTGATTTTTTCCTCATTAAAGCTCAATTATTGGTGTGGCCCTTGAGTAGAGGCAGCGGTAAGTGGTGCGGTTAGTTGCAAGTTCGAACCCTGCCAAGGGAACAATTTTTTTTTTTTATTTTCATTTTTCTTTATTGCTACTATATCAAGCGAGCGCGTAGCGCGACCTGCATTTGGTGTTGGAAGAAGAGGGTTCAGGGTATCCCCTAGTCGGGAGCTCACGACTAGAACCTCTTACTTGTTTTTTATGAGGTATATAGCTTGCGTTTATCGTCGAATCTTCAAAGGTTATGTGACCCTCATTCTTTTGATAGCCTTGTATTGCGAGTGTCGTAGGAAAGGCGTATTAAGCTCAAATAAAAATAGAAAGTTAGAAAGTAAAAGTTAAGAGATCATTTTAAGGGAGCAAGTTCTCCCACCATACATATATGTATATATATATTTATATGTTTTTTTTTATTTTTTAAATTTTATTTTGAGGTTATCAAGACGTGATCCACTGGGCAAATTCTTACCCAGGAATCCATTCACTACTGAGTCCTGTACCTAGGCTTTACGTAAATACCTGCAACAGATACCGCACATCATATTTCTTATTTCTTGCCTATTTTGAAGAGCCAAATATGAATAAATTTAAAGCATCTAATAAACATAAATTTTTTTCTAACAGATTGTCCTGTTTTAATCAATAGCTGCTTTTGCGAGATAAATAAATGGCTATAATCTATGATATCAGAGCAACCTGAAACAAAGCCAACACGATATTATTGGGAATGCTGGCAATTGATTGGTTCGGCTCAAATGTCAATGAACTGTCAAAAATAACAAGCTCGCGCTAAGTAAGAGAAAGAGGGTGTGTGCTTGTATAAGCTTCGCATATAAACACCCAGAAGCGATGAATAGACACCATGAAGCTGGAAAACCACTGTAACGGGGATAGGTCATATTCGAATATTGGGAAATTAACTAATGGGAATCAATAAATGCGTTCATCATATGCCACGTTAATGGGATATAAAATAATGAGAAAAAAGGCAAAAGAGCAAAAGCTTGAGAAAAACATTTAAAAGTCAACCACCGTCAACATTGCTTTTTTATTTTCTATGCTTGTCGTATTTTGCTTGCTGGCTAATAGTGTTTAATGTCGGCTGCCCTTGTAACCAACAAAATGCAATAAAACATGTGTCAAAACTTCGATCGCTTCCTTCGCTTGATTTTTTGGTATTAAGGCACCTATCAACATATTTTTTTTTTTTTTTTTTTTTTAACATAATTATTATTTATTTTATTTAAAATCTGCCCCCTTTTTGGGCAATAATTAAATATTTTCTTTGACCTATGGCAGTTATGTATTGCGTGTATCTATGTGTCTGTTTTGTGTGTTTAGTGTAGGGGAAGCAGTGGAATTTGTGGAGTTAGACTCTTTGGGGGAGGTCAAGTGGGTGTTTCCTTTTGAGCCGTCTTGTTGTTCAGTTGTTGTTTAAAAGGTTGGTGGCAAGATTATTTGGGTGGTTGCCTAGTCTGGCGATGTAGCGATCACTCAACTTGGCAATTACCTCTTTAACCCAAGGTATATTAAGCTGGCTGTGAATTGTGGTATTTTCATGGTAAATATGCGCGTTAGATAAAATTCGCAGAGCTTTATTTTGAAACCGCTGAATAATGTTCAGGTTGCTCTTGCTGGCGGTACCCCAAAGATGGATGCCGTAAGTCCATGTTGGCTTGATAATTGTTTTATAGATTATTAGCTTGACGCGAAGCTTCAATTTGGACTGTCTACCAATCAGCCAGTAATATTTTTTTAGCTTGTTTTCAGCCTGCTTTCTTTTGCGCACAATGTGTTCACGCCATGTCAGCCGTCTGTCGAGTGTGATGCCAAGATAATTGGGCGTTGTGCTTACCGGAATCTGTAATCCATCTAGGAAAACTTGAGGGCAGTTCCCTTTGCGCAGCGTAAAGGTGGTATGGGTGGACTTTTCCTGGTTTACCGCGATGTTCCACCTTTTCAGCCAGCTGTTTAGGGAGTCCAATTGACGCTGCATAACGGAGGACGCGTACTGCGGTGTGTTGGCAGTTGTAAGAAAGGCAGTATCATCCGCGTACGTGGCAACCAAGAGGCTCTGATCCGGGGTGTACACCGTGTATAACAGAGGTCCCAGAACGCTGCCTTGTGGGACTCCGGCTCTGATGTTCTTTATAGATGAAATAGCATCACCGCACTTAGTGTAAAACTGTCTGCAGGAGATGTAGCATTTAAGAAAATTGAAGTATGATGCTGGTAAGATTGCCTTAAGTTTATGCAGCAGACCGGGGTGCCATACCCTATCAAAGGCTTGCTTCACGTCGAGCATGACCGCACAGCAGTACTTCTTTTCTTCGAACGCCTGCATTATTCGCTCTACTAACCTATGGCACTGTTCCGGTGTTCCGTGGAGTCGCCTGAAGCCGAACTGATGGTCTGGGATCGAACCAGCCTCATTCAATACTGGCAGCACTCTACGTAAAAAGACTCTTTCGAGCAATTTAGAGAGAGTAGCCAGTAAGCTTATGGGACGATAAGAGGAGAGATCGGTCTCAGGTTTACCAGGCTTTGGTATTAAAATTACCTCAGCTCGTTTCCACTGGGACGGGAAATGTCCAATCTCAAAGCAACGGTTAATAACGTTGGTCAGCAACTGGATACAATTTTTAGGAAGCATTTTAATCGCCTTAGCGTCGATGCCATCGTGTCCAGGCGTTTTTTTTGGATTGAGTAGAGCAATCTCATTCTCAATCTCGTCCAGGGATGCTGATGCGATCCGTGCGTCACCCACACTTGGTAGCTCCAAGAAACGGATAGTATCCGCTTTGTCCGCCAATGTGCAGCGATCAAACGGCATGAATGAGTCATGAAGGTGCTCTGCAAAGGCATCTGCTCTTTCTTGGTCTGATCGGCACCAGTCCCCGTTTGCTTTTCGGACCACAGCTGCCCTTCTAATAGGTCGTTTAATATGGCGTGTGACCTGCCATAAGCTATTTGATGGGTCTCCTGGTTCGAGATCCTCTAGGAACCTATCAAAGGCGCTCTTCCTCAAGTCTTGTAGAACAACATATGATTTAGAGAATATGAATATTAAGAAAAGAAACAGTGAAACCTCCCATATCCCAACAGACAGAGTTGTCCGGTTTATGTATATTATTCTAGAAGCTACTTGTCAAGTTTGTTGATTTTAGCTCTTATTATTTACCAAAATAGCTCAAAAAACAGGATTTCGATATCGATTTTTATCGATTACTTGGCAACGGGGCAAGTTATCGAATATCGGAAACAAACTCGATCTGCGCGGGTACTAGGAGGACCTTCAGCTAAAATTTTTCTAGCTCTTATAGGTTCTGAGATCCTTGCGTTCATACATACGGACAGACACACGGACATGGCTAGATCAACTCGGCTGTTGATGCTGATCAAGAATATATATTCTTTATGTGGTCGGAGATGCTGCCTTCTGCCTGTTACATACATTTGCACAAATACATAATACCCTTTTTACCCATTTTTAATGGGTTCAGGGTATAACAAGTAAGAGGTTCTAGTCGGGAGCTTCCTACTAGGGGATACCCTGAACCCTCTTCCTCCAACAGGCGATAGGTATAAAATGAAAGATACTTGATATACTGAACATATCATTAAGATCGGTCAAGAACCACGAAAGAAAATGTGTTTTGGCCTGCAACCGAGTTCGTACCTTGCCGAGCAAACCATTTTTGGCTGGTGTAGCTGTTGCGTAGAATCGGGAGCAAGTAATGCGGTCAGTTGCGAGTTCAAACCCTGCCACGGAAACCTTTTTTTTAATTTATCTTTATTACTACTAAAGCAAAAGAGCGCGTAGCGCGAGCTGCATTTGGCGTTAGAAGAGGGTTCAGGGTATCCCCTAGTTGGGAGCTCTTGACTAGAACCTCTTACTTGTTTTACTTTATATTTATTACTACTAAAGCAAAAGAGCGTGTAGCGCGAGCTGCATTTGGTGTTGGAATAAGAAGGTTCAGGGTATCCCCTAGACGGGAGCTCCAGTCTAGAACCTCTTACTTGTTTTTATTTTAATTTTTCTTAATTACTACTTAAGCAAACGAGCGTGTAGCGCGAGCTGCATTTGGTGTTGGAATAAGAGGGTTCAGGGTATCCCCTAGTCGGGAGCTCCCGACTAGACCCTCTTACTTGTTAATAATATTTTAATTACATTCGGTGGAAAATCATTTCTGCTTAAAAGTTTTTTAATTTTATGTCCAATTTCCTTGTGGTATATTGTGTCTGATACATTGACTATCCTTCTCATATAGCTTAATGCTGTATTTATTATCATACTTGTTGGGTGTCTGCTGGTTTCTTATACCACTTAATTTAAAGTGAATTGTCAAGTTTGTTTATTACAGAGTCTAAAAATGGCGATTTCCCGTCTTTTTCTAGTTCCGTTGTGAATTTAACGTGTTTGTGAAAAGAGTTTCAGTTTCAGGATGTGTTTACTACTGTTTTGTCCGTGACGGTAAAAATGTCATCTACATATTTCGTCAAAAGTGTTGATTTTATTGTCAAACTATCAGTAATGTTGTCCAACTATTCTTCATTTGTTATGTCATTCCTTTTAATTGTATATATATTTTGTATTTGTATTTAAAGTACCGGGCTTCTTGAGTGCAAAATTTAAATATGTTAATAAATAGTTTATTTGGTATAGTTGTGTGTTCTTCTAATTTTATCCATTTTCGTTTTATTGTGTATAGTGCTAATTCCATTGGTATACTGGTAAGCAAGGATATTACGTCGAACGATACCAATGTTTCGTCTTCGCTAATGTGGGTATTATTGACTTGTCTTTAAACTCCATCGAGCTTTTTTTATTGATTTGGAGTCTATTGTTAAGTTTATTAATGTTTTGATATATATTGATATTTTGATATGAATAGAGTCGAGGAACATATTGGCCTCAATGGTGCTCCTTTCTTATATATTTTTGGTAGTCTATATATCCGTGTGGGTATCGCTGTTTTTGTAAATTGTTGTGCCACAAAGTTATTATTCTTTGTATGTAGTTTTGATGTCAGATGCCGTCTTCGTGTTATATAAGCGTATAAGTCGTTTAAAATATTTGGCGGCAGTTTGGATTCAATTGTATTGTAATACTATCATACGACCTCAAGCAAAGCTGTCATAAATATATTTAAGCATACCTATATTTAAATTTCGAACTTTCCATTTAGTCTTTTTTTCAAAATGAGGCCCAGTAATGTTTCTGTCAAATGTGTTTGGGATTAACAGTTTAATTATATTAAAAAATCTTGTACTCGGCACGCGAGAAGTTGATTTGAATCTTGAGTCATATTAAATACAAAGCAAAAAGAATGTGTAATAAAAACATCTAGTTTTAAAAAATGCGATAGCCACCTTTGCATTTACATTCCTTGCTGAGACTAAAAGAAATAGTTTTAATTAACTGGCTACTGAAGACAGACCAACTTAAATGTTTGTACGTAGACCATTTTTTCGTTCAATCAATAAAGCTGTAATGCAGCCTTGGCAGCTCTGTTCGATGGATCCAAACATCAGCTAGAACAATAAGCTGTAGTCTGATTCAGTCAATACATGGAGCCCATTTAAGTTTTGTCGTGCTGCCAAAGTTCGCAAAGTGAACGAAGCAAGAAGCAAACAAACAAATTGCCAAAGAAAACTTTGTCTTTTGCTCTTTTCAGTTGGCAAAAGAGCAAAATGCAATTTTGTACAACGCTAAGGTGTGGGATGCTTTCGGAACGGACTTCACTTAGGGGGTAAAAGGAATTCCTCTGTTGGTCATTAAATTACATGCTAACTTCTTTTGCGATTTTTTGGATTGATTATCAGGTTCTGTTTGTAATGCGTCTTTCTTTGCTGCACTATTTTCCTTGGCATTCCTTGGGTTGATAATATTTCCTGCAGCCCCTCAATAAGCTTAGCTTAAAAATACCCTTAACATTTATCCAAATTTTATGGATGCGGACCAGAGCAGAAATTAGATCTAAATAAGTTTTTCAAGCGGGCTGGTAGTGATTATGATGCAATCGATCAAAAAAATATTTTGTTAAAAGACAAATATATTTTAATCAAACTCTCGCTTAGGGAAAACTATAAGAGTCGGTTGGTTAATATAAAACTGTTAAAAAATACTGTTATTGCTTAAAATAAGCTATTATATTTGGATACAATCAGTTTCGGTGTTAAATTTTGGCCCTAAGGTAGATAAAAAAGGTTATTTATTTGTCACGGCGAAAATTTCCGCATACAATCATTTATAAACTAGAGCTCCATTCGAAGGAAATCTCAAATATTTTATTAATCAGACTCACATAGCCACAAATCCTTTTTCTGCTTACTAATTTAGCGTAATTTGCCTACTTAATGGTCGTTGATTTTTTGGTGTTGATTACAGGAGGACTAAGACTGGCCTTCGTTAGGACCATTTACATAAATGCCAAAAATGGAAAACGAGGGGAAGAAATTGAGTAAATGCATGCTTTTGGAGGACTATACAAGTTGGGCTCATGGCGTCCTCTCAGAACGCAGAATGAAATTCATGGGAACGTAAAAAATAAATTAACATACTTAATTAGACACACACAGCCGTACAGAAGGAAACAAAATGAATTCCGACAATTGATTCTCATGTAACTAGCGCTTTTAAAATCGACGCTTATTTGGCAAATGCCCGCTTACCCTTTTCGCAAGAAAATCGAGGTGCTGGCAGGATTTGTCGAGAAATTGGTGAAATTGTACGGAAATTGACGTTTATGAAAATGCCTAGAAGTGAATGTTTCAATTACTAAATATTGCTCCAACGGTTGGCGTCTTGTTTTCTTAACAGTTTGTTCAGGGTGTACATGATTTTTCTTTATATCAAAAACGGCAAATGCTTCTAAAGAGAATTGCTTTTTTATACCCTGAACCCATTGAAAATGGGTGAAAAGGGTACAATGTATTTGTGCTGAAGGAAGCATCTCCGACCCCATAAAGTATATATATTCTTGATCAGCCATGTCCGTCTGTCTGCCCGTCCATCCGTATGTATGAACGCAAGGATCTCAGAACCTATAAGATCTAGAGACTTGAAATTTTAGCTGTAGGTCCTCCTAGTGCCCGCGCAGATCGAGTTTCGATAACTTGCCCCGTTTCCAAGTAATCGATAAAAATCGATATCGAAATCCCGTTTTTTGAGCAATTTTGCTAAATAATAAGAGCTAGAGTCACCAAACTTGACATGTAGCTTCTAGAATAGTATATATGTATATCAAGTATCTTTCATTTTGTACCTATCGCCTGTTGTAAGAAGAGCGTTCAGGGTATCCCCTAGTCTGGATCTCCCGACTAGAAACTCTTACTTGTTATACCCTGAACCCATTGAAAATATGTAAAAAAGGGTATAATGTATTTGTGCAAATGTATGTAACAGGCAGAAGGAAGCATCTCCGACCCCATAAAGTATATATTTTCTTGATCAGCATTAACAGCCGAGTCGATCTAGCCATGTCCGTCTGTCTTCCCGTCCGTCTGTATGTATCAACGCACGGATATCAGAACCTATAAGAGTTAGAGACTTGAAATTTGGACCGTAGGTCCCCCTAGTGCCCGCGCAGTACGAGTTTGTTTCCGATAATCTATAACTTGCCGTTTACAAGTAATCAATCAATATCGATATCGATATCGTGTTTTTAAAGCAAATCTCTAGGTTTTAAGTGCTAGAGTCACCAAACTTGACATGTAGCTTCTAAAATAGTATATACATATATATCAAGCATTTTCATTTTATAGCTATCGCCACCACCCCGCTAATCACCACATAGCAATTATTCAACTAAAAACTCCAATGTGTATTGCCCACCAATTTGAGCAGCAATTTTCGATATTGAAATACACGAATATTCTATAGTACAATAAGATCTACTGTTGAAAACTTCATCAAGACCGGTTAAGAAATACAAAAGTTATAAAAGAAATTCTGTTTTGGCTGGCCACGAGCGTGGGGCAGTTAGCTCAAATTGCAAGAATTTCTGTATACATGTACACGCACACATTCATGCGCGTCTTTATTGAATTCTATCTGTGCTGCAATTTTTATCCGTTTTTTATACCCTGAACCCATTGAAAATGAGTAATAGGGGTATAATGTATTTGTGCAAATGTATGTAACAGGCAGTAGGAAGCATCTCCGACCCTTTAAAGTATATATATTCTTGATCAGCATTAATAGCCGAGTCGATCTAGCGACGTCGGTCCGTCTGTCTGTCTGTCCGTCCGTTGGTCCGTATGTATGAATGCAAGATTCTCAGAACCTATAAGAGCTAGAAAAATTGTAGCTGAAGGTCCTCCTAGTACACGCGCAGATCGAGTTTGTTGCCGCTATTCGATAACTTGCCCCTTTTCCAAGTAATCGATAAAAATTGATATCGAAATCCTGTTTTTTTTTAGCACTTTCGACAAATAGTAAGAGCTAGAGTCACCAAACCTGACATCTATAATAGTATATATATATCAAGTATGTTTCATTTTGTACCTATCACCTGTCGTAAGAAGAGGGTTCCGGGTATATCCTAGTCGGGAACTGCCGACTATAGCTACTAAATTACTACTAAAGCAAACGAGCGCGTAGCGCTAGCTGCATTTGTTGTTGGAAGAACAGGGTTATTTCTTATTAAGACTTAGTGCAAATGATGTGGTCTGTTTCGATTCGAGACCTATCGAGAAAACATTTTTTTAGTTGAAATTTTTTTTTACTACTGCTGAAACTAGAGCTTAGCGCGAGCTGAATTTGGTGTTGGCAGAAGAGGGTTTTTTGAGTATTCCCAAGACGGGAGCTCCCGACTAGAGCCTCCCACTTGTTTTTGTATGTTAGCCAGTGTCAAATAAGCTCCTTAATTATATTATTTGTTTTTCAAATTTGACGCATTGAATTTGTCCTTGAGGAGAGATAATAATGATAATAATGCTCGTAGGGCTATTTGGGCTTGTATTTGTAACCTGTATTATCCGTTTACGTGAAATTCAAATAAGTGTCAAGAACATGCAATCCTCCTAGCAATGTCGAACTGGCAGCAACTCTTGTACTACCAAAGCGCATACTTCAGTCACACTTATACACGCAACTGTCAGAGCGCTAAGCGCAATTGCGCTAAAGGCTCGCGTGTTGGTCCGCTGGGAATTAACAGTCAACTAACACACAAGTCCACACGCACACACAAACACACATATCGATGTATATGTTAGACTAAAATACATGTTGGCAAACATTAAGTGCACTTGTCATCTGTTGGCCTTTGCCTGAGGTTTGTTTCTGTGGTTGGTCTTGTGGCTTTATTAGCAGCTCTCGCATAAACTCTGTATATATCTGTGGTATGCATATTTGAAAAAGGCAGTATATGCATCAATTGCTGCTATTGGGGAAATTTTAGAATCCACAACAAAGTTATAATGAAAATACCTTGCGGCTATTATGCACTTAAAAATGAATCTACTTGAATGGGTATGTAGTATTCAGCTCAGCTAAATGACCTATTCATTTAATCATCTGAACAACATGTATGCAGGTTCAAATTCTGCTCTTTTATATACATGTACCCCTTTCTTGGAAGTAGGCCATGTGAACTGGCCAGCGTTATTTAAAAAATGTATGTCAAGCTTATAAATTAAATATATAGCATAATAATAAACAAGTAAGAGGTTCTAGTCGGCAGCTCCCGACTAGGGGATACCCTGAACCCTCTTAAATGCAGCTCGCAATACTAAAAAAAAATTCCTTTGACAGGGTTCGCACTCACATCTGAACGCATTACTTGCTGCCGCCTCTACTTAACAGCCGCACAAGCGAAAAAAAATAAAATTAGCCTCCTCGATAGGGTTCGAACTGGCAACAGACCGCACTACTCAACGCCGCATCTATAGAACATCCACACCAATAATTGCGTTTCAATGAGAAAAACTAATTAAAATAGCAGCACAGAAAACAATATAATCACAATTGCAATGCTGTTGGTAGAATTCAAAGCAGACGCGCATGAATGTGAAATTTTCAGTAGTAGATCTTATTGTACTATAAAATATTCGTGTTTTCTCAAAATGACAATAGCATTTAAATTGTGACTTAATTAGGTAGTCAATATAAGTTGGTTATTAACATGATTTATAGCTTTTAGGTGGTGGCAGAGAGGTGGCAATAGCTAAAAAATTAAATATACTTGGTATATATATATATAATTCTAGAAGCTACATATCAAGTTTGGCGACTCTAGCTCTTATTATTTACCAAAATTGCTCAAAAACGGGATTTCTATTTCGATTTTTATCTATTACTTGGAAACGGGGTTATGGATTATCGGAAACAAACTCGATCTGCGCATGGACTAAGAGGACCTTCAGAGAAAATTTCTCTAGCTCTTATAGGTTCTGATATCCTTGCGTTCATACATACGGACAGACGGACGGACGGACAGACCGACAGACAGGCGGACATGGCTTAATCGACTGGGATGTTGATGCTGATCAAGAATATATATACGTTATGGGGCCGGAGATGCTTCCTTCTGCCTGTTACATACATTTGCACAAAAACATTATTCCCTTTTTACCCATTTTCAATGGGTTCAGGGTATAAAAAACATTTATTAAATTTTCCTTTATATAACATAAGATTTGCCAACATTTTTCAATTTACTTTTATTTAAAGCTACATACGATTTTCCATCTGGCATACTCTTCACTTCTAATGGCACAAACTTTTCCTTTAAAAATGAAATAGGGCTGCCAAAGTCTATGAGGCATTCTGCAATTATTGATTTGTTTTTAAAATGAATTGTTATGTATCTCACATATTTGTTTTCAATAGAACAATTTTTATTTGGACATCCTGCTATTAAGTATTCTTTGAGCCGCACGCATAGCAAGAGCCTGGCTCCCGTTTAAGCTTTAAACAATCTATGGCCCAATGCGCCTTGACATTACAGTTGTAGCAGCGTTTTTGTGTGTCTGCCTGTGCTTCCTGTGCAGCTTGTTTCTTAACATTGTTTCGTGCCCGTTTAATTGGTAACTTTAAAGCTGCAAACGCACGTAAAATTTGAGGCTGATTGGTACAGCAATGCATACTAGCTAGAATAATACCCTCCATTAACTCCTCAACATCAATTTTGATGTCCTGCGCCTATATGTTTTTTTCGCTAAAGTATGTGGAATATCCTCATCTGGTTTCCAAACCCGATTCTCATACTTTTGTCTTAGTTCCGACTTTGAAAATCCTTCACCGAACGCCAACGCTAATTGGCTTAGCATCTGGTCAATCGTAGCAATGATGCGCATAAGGCCTGCATGCAACCACTTCAAAGCACCACCTTTCAGTTTACTTATACAAAGTAAGTGCTGCTGCATCTCATTTACCACGTAGATTTTGGCCCCATTGGAGAGTTGCATTACCCATTTACGTACCTCACTTTCCCCAGTAAATTCCAATAAGGATTCCTTGGCTAGCATCAACGCTCCAGTTTGAATGCAAGCATTAAAGTTGCCGCCGACAGTACTTGATTTAATCTTGCCATCAACTCAGTTTTTGATCCCGTGGTTGGCAAATTTAACAATAACCAACTCTTCAATGTTGCTATTGACACATCCTTTATGTTTATTTTTTCCATTATTATGAGTTAATCCCACTTCTGATATTGTAGTAGTATCTAGTATTAATTTATTTAACTTATTTTCGGGTTGTCCTTGTTACATATGTATGTTATCTTACTTTTAGCGCTGTGGACAGACTGACCTCACACTCCATATTGGCACCCTCTTTATTCTTATCGATATAACATT